GAAGGATAGTACTAGCTAGTACTACATTAGTACTAAGGTCTGAAGGATAGTACTATGATACTAGGTAAAATGATCAACAATGTGAGGTGAAAGATAAAGATATTGAAGAAAAAGTTCAAATCTTTTCAGCATCTTTACTGTCAATTTGTTATAAAAGAATTTAAAATATTATTAACATCTTTTCTTGTTAAAGATGATGAAAAGAGTGGAAAACATTGGATGACATATCAGCAATCATTTTTCAATTATTTTACAATCTTTTAGGTAAAGTTATAATAAAAAGTTTCAAAATCTTTTTTCATTCTTTTCTTATCAAAGATAATCAACATATTGTGACCATGTCACACCATTATCAATTGACACTAAGCCAATATTAGGATATAAAGGTGAATACTTAGGTCTAAACCTTACTACTATCTCTTGAAGCCTTAATACTAGCATAGTATCTATCTTTAGATCTTAGCAATAGCTTAGTACTAGCATAGTACTAGTATTTACATCTTAGGTTAGCATACTGCTAACATTAAGATCTTTGTATTACTCTTCTGACTAATAGTACTAGTATAATGCTAACATATATGTAACCCTAAGTCTTAACCTCCATACTTTAGTACTAGCTTAGTATATGATGACAAGGGTGTGACATAGTCATAATATTTCATCATCTTTGATCAGAAAAGAGTGAAAAACAACTTTTAAAACTTTTCATTATAATGTAGTATAAAAGATTGCAAAATGATTGAAGAAATGACTATCAATACTTCATTCAATGTCTTTCTCATCTTTTCATCATCTTTAACAAGAAAAGATGTGAATAACATTTAATTCCTTTTTCATAAATTAACAGTGAAGATGCTTAAAACATCTGAACTTTTTCATCAATATCTTTACCATCTTTCACCTCAAATTATTGATTGCTTCACTCAGTGACTGGTCTGACTAAACACATATATAGGTTTGGTATATCATTGAGAGATGGATTGCTAATAGCAAATATGCAATGTGAGATAAAAGGGCACAACATGCTGTATGTACATTTCAAACATTCAAGCTGTTGTTAATATCAATATGTGCCAAGGTTTTCAGCTCAGCTGTAGCAGCCCTGAATATGATTGTTAAACTGCCTTTTTGAGGCTCTGCATACATATTTATATGTTCTGATATGTGAAGTTCAGGACTAGCGCTCGTTCCTCATGCTAGACTGAACACTGGCTTACTAAGCAGGTGGACGAGAAAGAGACGCGCCCACCTGACAAGGTGTCGCATCTATTCTCCTCATCACTATCTCACATACAGCTCGCTTCACAGCATTTCTCGCCATTTTTCATGTTCTCACCCGTTTTTAAACTGCTACGTTCTCTCAGATAATCAATTAATCAATCTTCTACCTAACATGACTGAAGGACCACCCACAGGTGTCAATGGAAAATCTGTCCAAGGCGTGGCCGACGGCTCAGTGAGCTCCAGTAGCATGGGCAGATCTTCCCACAACCCTTGATCTGGTGCCTTGGAAGAGGTCATCAGATTCGAGAATGCTAAACATGCTGAGTGCAACAAAGCACGAGCGATTAGGCATGGCCAAGGTGACGAGTCTGTCTCTGACGATGAGGACTTGCTCGATCTTGACGGCAATGAGTGTCTCGCCGGGTCTGCACCACCTAGAAGTGTCCCTCAAAACCCCCCTCCTAACCCGGCCAATGCTACTCAGCTCATGGGGGTTTTCCAAGGCATGTCGCCAGGCTCAAAAAAAGCCTTCTTGAAAGTGATTCAAGCACGGCCCCCTGCGCATACATCCACGCATACAACATATACATCGACCAAAGACATCGATGACAAGTTGGATTTCGCAATTATACCGGAGAAAAAACTTTTCTCCAAGGCACGTGAGCATTCTAACGATTTATTTAGAGACAGTGGTCTCGAAATTCCCTCGGCTGTTCTTCAGCTCGCATTGGCATAAGTTCATATTCTGCTTACACTGGTTACATCGGATGCCATATGCAAGATCCACTGTAACCCCACATCTCTTAAGACACAGAGCGTTGTCACTGCTGCCAGCAAACGATTGGACCTCATCGACCTCAGTGCTTGACCAAAGGAGGAGATCCTCTCAGCGGGCTCTTTCATGGAGGCTTGGAAGAATATGCTCAAGGTCTATGAGAGGCTATGCGAATCGGAGGTCATTGAAGAATTTCAGGCCCACTTCAACTACCTATCGAGCTTGCCGGATTTCACTCAAGACTACACAGCCATCCTCTGTTTCGACTGCAAGGTACGCCGCTGTTATATAAACCAACCTGCCTCTTTCTCCTCCGGAGAGTCCAAGTACAAATAATGCTTGGACCGGATCATGGTCGAGGTTATGCGAGAACAACTCACTGCTAAGTCAACCACCTCGCACAATTCCTCCAACCGCTTCCACCCATATCCTCGAAGCGATGACTGACCTTGTGCTAGTGACAACTGCTCTCACCCTGGTGATGACCGCTCAAAGCCCTTTTGAGATGGCAGACAGCCCACGTCCTCCGAGCCAGTCTGCCTCATATGCATGAGGACCGGACATCACGTGATATACTGTGCATCAAAGACGGTCATCCAACCATCTCCGTGTTCAAGAACTGACGCCTCCTCATCAGCACTTCTGGCCAAGAGCTCTGTGTCATTTGGAACCTCTCAGATGACTGTACTGCAAAGCGCTGCCTCAAAGGACAGCCTCACTCCTGCTTTCTCTGCAGCTCCAGCGACCATCACGCAGGATCTGAAAAATGTATGCGTGCGTGAACACATTGTTACTCCATACGTGGCAGATGCCTTCGAGGCACTTCTGCGTCATCATGGCCTTCTTGATGGATACCCTCAGCTGCCCTACAAGATTCAAAATGGGTTTCCTCTTGGCGATTTCACTCTCATCACTCGCACATTTACTTCAAGCAACCATAGCTCTGCACTGGCACATCCCAATGTTATCGACGCATATATTCAAGAAGAACTCGCTGCAAGCTGCTTCTCTGACTCGTATTCTCAATCCACTGTTAAAAGCTTTCTTGGGTCTTGCTTCTGGTCATCCCCTCTTGCTGTGGTGGAGAAAGCCAGCTCACTAGGCAAGTTCCGTGTCATTCAGAACCTCTTCTTCAAGGACAAATCTGGCGTCTCCGTAAATGACCAGATCGACTCTGATGATTTTTCAACCCACTGGAGAACTGCAGCAATGATTGCTGAAATTGTAAGTCGCTCTACTCCTCTAGCTCCGGCTTCCTATTGCCCCACTTCTACTGCTCATATGACTACCCAGAGCACTCGCTCTGTCTCTATCCAGCGGGAATTGATCCTGCTGCTTCGGGCTCATGCCCCACTCCTTCTCTATGGGTATTCTACCTCTCATCTCTCTCAGAGCTTTGCTCTGCCTACCAGCGAGGCTTAAGCCCACCACTATCTGTGCTTCTTCTTGCATGGGCTGATTGCACCATCCTCAGAGTTTACCTCTGTCTCTATCTCCTGAAGGGAGCTCTCCACTCATCACCAGAGTTAATCTCTGCCTTACGTTCAATTGCCTATGCTCTATATATGCGTTCTTTGCACCTTTTGTTCTTTTCATGACTTATTATCTCATGCATATGTTGTTCAGATCACTTCTGCACCTGATGGTGCACAAGCTGCTACCTTAGACATTGAGGCAGCATTCTGCGCTTCGCCCGTCTGGCCTCCGCACAAGGCCTTCATCGTCGTGCAACATAATGGCTCATTCTATATCGATCATTGCTTGCTGTTCAATATCTCATCAGTGACAGGCATCCAGGGTGAGTCTGCTGATGCAATGATAAATATCCTGAAGGGCGAAGGTGTTTCACCCTCCAAGAAATGGGTGGATGACTTTGTCTTCTTTCAATTCTCCACTGCCGGTGGCTGGATTACTGGCGTATGGATTTCCTATACATATGCCTATGATCTGAACACCATTTTGTCCATCACTGCACCCTTGGGTACACCTTGGCATCTTATCAAACATTCTTCTTTTGCCCCATATACTACCTTTGGTGGCTTCTTCTGAGATCTCGCGCTTAGAACGATTCCTCTACCCAAACCAAAATGACTAAAGTATCTAACAAAACTTCAGGCTTTCTTACAGGCCGCTATCTCCAGATGGGTCACACAGTGTGACTTCCAGAGCATTAATGGCACTCTCTCACATGTCACATTCATGTATCCTCATGGCCGTGCTTACCTACTGAACCTCTGCCAGTTTATTACTACCTTCCCAAACCACTTCACTACTCACTATCCTCCAACCTCTGTTCTTGCTGACCTGCACTGGTGGTCTGACACACTTTTAAAGCCCTCCCCAGCACGCACTCTCCGCTCTCGTGGCCCTGCCAAGGACCTCAGTATCTGGGTAAATGCTTCCACCTCATGGAGCATTGGTCTCATCTTCAGATCTGCATGGGCTGCTTGGTGCTGGATCCCTGGATGGAAGCGTGATAGGCACGACATTAGCTGGGTGGAGATGATCGCACTCAAATTTGCTACTCATGCGATCGAAGCCTTCGACTACCATGACATCACTGTCACCATCCATGGTGACAACATGGGCATCATCGATGCTTACAAATGTGGACGTGGTCACAACTATCAAATGAACGAGTCTATTCGTCGCACCAACCTGATCACCATGTCCCTTAATCTCGCACTTGATCCTGTCTATGTGAACACCAAAAACAATCTGGCAGATCCGGTGTCTCAAGGCATCTTCGACGTGTCTTTCTCAAGATTGCCTACACTGTTCGCAATCTCAGAGGAACTCCTCCCATTTTTTTTCAACACTTGAGTCCATGCCTCATCCAGCATCGACGCCTGCTGACACAGCAACATCGATGCCGCATCATACCAAATCAGCATGCAAACTGAAGTCTGGCTTAGAAATCACTGTCTCGCCTTTGTGCCCGCACATTCCAGCCTCTGATCACCTTTTTCTCTGGCATACTCCTTATGGCATTTAGCATTATCAAGGCCTCAATGCCTCACTCTCTGTGGACTCTGTCAATATCTTACATCTTGAGCTGCTCTCTGCTCTAGAAAAGAAAACTCGAACTAATTACGGTGCCGGTCTCAAACAATTCACTCAATTCTGCAACAATTTGCAAATTCCTGAACCCTCTCACATGCCTGCATCAGATGCCCTCCTCACTGCCTTCCTTGCACACTGGCAAGGGCGCACTGCTTGTAGGACCGTTGATAACTGGCTCACCAGTCTGCACTTCTGGCACACACTCAATGGCACTCCATGGAGAGGTGATGCATTAGTACGAATCATCTGTGAAGCAGTTTCAAAAGCTGTTCCCATGTCCTCAGTATGGCCCCGATGGCCTCCAGTCTCCCTTGAACATATGCATGCTTTGCACTCTGGACTTAACTTGACAAACTCCTTCGACACCGCAGTATACGCCTGCACTTGTGTCACCTTTTGGTCTGTTTGTCAGTGCATATACTACATGTACGATATCTTTATCATATGTTTTTCTCACTCACACAACTGATCCTGGTGTTGACGTTTTCTCTATTATAGGCTGGGCGAGCTCGTCATACTGAGCGCTGGCCTCACGAACCCTCATTATCATGTTTTGCAAACTGCCAAGCTACAATTTCACACTATTGTGGGTAGCATCGAGTATGCAACTCTACCTATCCCCTGGATGAAGACTACTCAGCAAAATGGTGCTGTTATTATCATTTCTCACCTCGATGATCCCACCAGCCCTATACCTGCACTCCGTCACCATCTTTCTGCAAACGCAGCAATTCCTGACATTGCACCTTTCTTCACCTTCAAAATGGCCTCTGGAGGCTGGGCACCTCTTACACGCACGTGGTTTCTGGACTGCTGTAACATAATTTGGACGGAATTTGGCCTGCAGTCAGTCACCAGTCACTCCTTCTGTATCAGTGGTGCAACTGAACTGCTGCTGTGTGGGATGCCTCCCGACGTTGTCATCATACAAGGCCACTGGAAATCACATGCATTTCTGGACTATTGGCACCGTATTGAACAAATTATACCGCTCTTCATAACCAATTCTTTTGATTGCTCCCATCTTGAGCTTGTTCGCACTTCTATGAATCGTTTTCAATGCAAATACTCCAGTTAATTGCCACTTTACCTTCGCCTTAGCATATCTCTTCCGATACCCTGTGTAGTGTCCATCTGCAAATTAAAGTCATCTCTTATGGCTCGCTGATAATATCCGACGACCCATGTGTGAGGTAGTCGTGGTGCCACGCCTGTTGTGGGTCGAGTGGTGTAGTCGTGCCACCTCTCGTTAGGCAGCTACGCCACCACCTTACACTCGAGAGATTTAGCTCAGACGCACTCAGAATCTCGGATCATAGGTCAGTGTCTCAGGTACCTGGCTTCTAGAGCAGGACCCCAGACACCTTTTTTGGACCCTGAGCACCGCTCTCAGCATGGATTCCTAACCCGCACACACACTAGCTGAATCCTCTCCCCCACACACATGGTCGACGTATATCACATCTCCCCAGTATATCCTATATCACTCAACAGCGTCCACTGCACTTAGAAAGCATCAATATCATGCATTTTATCGTCATCTGTTTCTTTAGCAATCTTTTCAATAAAAACAATCAACTATGGCTGTGTAGCCTCAAAATTACACAAGCCATGCAGAGCTGTGATTCAGTGATCAAAGGCAACCAATTAATTTATTGTGGTGACTAAAAACTCAAATTGCAGCAATAATTGGTTAAATAAGGAATGAAAACTGTTATAACTTCGAAAATGCTAAATGATACATTACTCATATAATAGTATATTGCTGGGCCAGATTGCACACACTGGAAAATGATGAACACAAATGTTTGAATTGTTTTGAAAGGATCCAAGATGGTTATTGTTTGTGCAACTAGCTAGTTGCATGAATGATAAATGTCATAATTTGGTATTATTTGTGCATTATGATGGATTAAAGTGTGAGAATTTAAGTGGCTGACATCTGCATAGATTCTGTCACCTCAAATTATTAGCCAGAAAATGGCCTGCATGTTGTTTTAGTTGTAGCTCATGAAGATGTAGTTTACTATATATTATTAATATGTTCAAACATTTAAAAAGTCGAAATATGGATCAGAATTTCTAACAATTTACCATGATGGCTAAAGACTTAGATTGTCTCACCTATTCTGCTTGTATGGATGAAATGAGGAAATAGCATATAAAGTGGTGCACCAGCATGCAATATACAGTGATCCACAAAACTGTTGATAAGATTGCTTACTTCGACTTGTATGGTCCATATCTCCTCAACCACTAAATTAAATAAATTTCACAAGGGCTCATTTGAAAGCGTATTATCACGGCTTTTCAATGCAGTTTTGATCATATTTTTAACATATTTTGATCCCAAGATATTTAATACTCTTTGAGGACCACTCTTATCAACAGTTTTGTGGCACATATTCAGGTTCTACAAAACTTGTACTTTCAGTACTTGGTATAGCCTCCCTTTGCCTTCACAACTGCATCCATTCTCCTTGGCATACTTTCAATCAGATTCTGACACACTTCCTTCCCAATAGCCTCCCATTCCTTCTCTACCCTTTCTCACAACTCAGTAATTCCCTTTGATGGTTCCTGATACTCTGCAAGCTTCTTTTTGAGGTGACCCCACAAATTCTCTATGGGATTGAGATCTGGGGATTGAGAGGGCCATAGCATGGTGTTGAAATCATGGTCATTGAACCAAATCTTGGCCTTCTTGCTGGTGTGCTTGAGGTCATTGTCTTGCTGAAACACCACATCCTTCACAGTTTTGCCCCAATTCTCCAGGCTATTCTGCAGCTCATCCTCCAGAATGCTGACATAAAGGTCCGCATCAATCCTGCCATCAATATTGCAGGCATACCCCACACCATCCCAGCCCATACAGCCCCACATCATCAAGGATCCACCTCCAAACTTCTGAGTCCCTTCCACCAACCTATCACTGAGGCTCTCTCCTGGCTTCTTCCACACCCATTTCCTTCCATCTGACCCCATCCTGTTAATCTTTGTCTCATCTGACCATACCACCCTTCTCCAGTCCTCTACAGTCCAATACTGGTGAGCCAAAGTGAAGTCCATCCTCTCCTTCTGATGCCTTGCAGAGAGTAAAGGCATTTTTTGCTTCACTACAGCCTTCATTCCTGCCTTCTTCAACCCTCTTCACACTGTCTCTGCATTGACAACCCTCCCAGTAATGTCTGCAAGAGCTCTGGCCACAGCAGGAGATGTGGTAGCCTTGCCAGTCCCAATGAGTCAAGTAGCATAGCGAAGATTGGCAGTAGTAAGAAGGGAAGGATGCCCTCCTTTGGCCTTAGGAATGGTGGGGCAGTGTGTGGAGCACAGTTTACTGATGATAGAATAGTGTAGCCCAGTCAAAGCTTCAATTTCTCGAACACATTTGCCATTCTAAAGCAAAGTGATGACATGGTTGACAGTTTCAGTAGCAACGGCTTTTGGCATGATGTTGGTTGAGTGTGAAGAGTTGTGTATGGCTGTTTTTACATTGTTCATGTTGAAACATGATCATCCAATCAATATTCCCACAAGGAACCCTGTCAACACATCAAGAATCACAATATTCTGAGGACTTGTGTGTGCACCACAAAACTGTTGATAAGAGTGGCCCTCAAAGAGTATCAAATATCTTGAGATTCACATATGCTAAAAATATAAACAAAATCGCATTGTAAAGCCATGCTAATAGGCTTTCAAATAAGTTCTTATGACATTTATTTGACCCAGTGGTTGAGGAGATACTTACATACAATACCAGTCGAAGTAAGCAATCTCATCAACAGTTTTGTGGGTCACTGTAGATCAGGTCATTATACAACACAGTGATCTCCATCAGCTGCAGACGCAGCTTTTTCTTAGACATCGAATGAGGCAGCTTCGCTTGAGGTGGCCGTAACACCCATGGCCCCTCACCACCTGATACTACAAATGTCACTGTACCAGTATGTTTACCTGCAATGACTAGGGCATCATTGTTGATTTTGGGAGGGTGTGTCTCAAACGACGTCACAGGAAGCATATATCTTGCATAAAGCCCTCATCCTAGGTATGACTTGATAGGAAGCTGGTTGAAGCTGAACAAAGCTAACGTTTCCTCGATACAAAGCTCGACTTCACAGCACCTGTTGTCAACAATGTGAATGTGTTTGGTGCTGCGTATCCTAAGAGGAAGCGTTCGAATCTTTGATAACACTTCATGCACTCGTGGATCTGATAAAAGTACATCGAGGCTGACAGATTCTAAATGACATATCACATGAGTGATATTTCAGATTGGCGATGTCCTGATTCAGCGAGCACACTTACCGTGAGTGGTGACAGATTTCATGAGTGAGATGGTGGAAGGACCACTCAAACTCGAAGCAAGCTGATCCAAGATTTCTTCCACCATAACAGATTCTACATATCGCATGAGTGATATTGCAGATCCGTTGCAATCTGGGAACTTACTGTCAGGTGCAGAAGATTTTTCAGCTGGAGCGGTGGAAGGCCCACCAGCATCTGCACCACTCACATCTGCAGCAAGTCAGTCCAGCATGACAGCCATCGAGATATCTGAAATGTCAGACGATGCTACCTATGCTGCTCTCTGTCAGTAGTCTTCCATGGTTTCAGGCCATTCGGGACTGAGGGGCTCAGCATCGAATGACCATGGTGAAGTTGACCCCTCTGCAGCTGCAACCGATTCTGATGAATTCCTACCAGCTTTTTCAGCTGGCAACGTGTCCGATATCTCACCGATTGACGCAAACAAAGTAATCTCATCTTTATCGCTAGAAATTGAGGTAGAAGTCAGAATCACTATTGACTAAAAATGAATCAAATAACACATCTAGTCAGGCCAATCTCCTCCATGAGGCACCATAATAAAAGATCGTGAGGAGCATCCATCTCGATTTGATAGCGGTCATTCAAGATACTCGTTAGGTATTTCTTCCAGCCCTTGTGCCCACCATGGATGATGGTCACATGTTGTCTGGCATACTTTTGGTGAATCTCGAACAGGAAGCGTGAGCTTGTTAATGATTCATTTAATGATTCATGAAGACTGCTGTGTGATGATGATGCCACTCGCTCTTCTGGTACAGTGAAGTACTGCAGTTCCAGCTCATGCTTGATGACATTGTGAGGTCTCACGACAATCTTTACATAGGTTCAGCCCATGACATTGCAGAAAGTGGAAAATGCACCTCATAATTCTTTTTATGAATGAGTAACTGCAGCTCATCCTTGTCGTTCTCGTTCATCAAAACGAATTCTTAAACTCCACAATAATTACCTCACACAACCTGCACGCTATCACCTGAGTGAAAGAACCTATCGAGGCTGTGTAACAGCACCGTAGCTGCTTGAATACCATCCTGACCAAATGCCACTTCAGCACAGTCCTCTGTAATGCCTTGTATGATTCCTTCTGTGCAGGATAATTCTTCATCTATCATGTAATATGATCACCAATGGCCAGACTTGCAATGTATGCTCAGTGAATGAGACCGTTGAGCACTGTCGGTGAGATCCAGCTGCAATGCATGAATGATAAGATCTCGTCTTTGCAGGGTGCATCAACCATGGGTGCCAGTAAACACGTGTCATATTTCAGATGCACAAGTCCATCTCTGAATTGCTTGTTATAAAAGCTGAACTCGGGCATGCCAGCGACAGGTTTCCTTTTCTTAACAGATCTGGTGCTGAACACTGCTAAAGCCTTCATGTGGTCAAAACGTTGTGCTGCTGGACGTGACGGTCACTTTTATGAATAAGACATGTGGGGAACAGTCCAGATGAATGCACCCTTGATGTCTTCCACATATGCAAGGTCCCACTTGTAAAGTCAGTATTCAATTCTAGCAAAGCAAGGTGCCACGATGGCATCAGCTGCAAAGATGTAGAGGGAAATCTGCTGCTCTAATGGTACATGGACCAGCTGAACACTCAGGAGAAGATGAGATGCCAGTTTACATGTGTGCATGACATTGGCCAGCACCCACACTTCAATGTAAATGTGATTGGTGCGACAAACCAGTGTACCCTTCTCACAAAGGGATATGGACTGTATGATTGGGTTCTCTGCGGAGTTCACTGGTGGTGAGATGCTTTGATGTGGCAGCACTGCAGAGCCTTCAGAATCAGATGGACCCACAGACTGTGTTACAGATGCCACTGTGGGGGCCAATGCACCAAAGATAAGACAGAGTGCTCGAAGAGCACAGTTTGGCTGGACAATTCTCAGTGTCAATCGGTGATGTAAGTGAGAGTGCACGATATGTACCCTGGTCTTCACCATCCACAATGTAGAATCTGTCAGCTCAGGGGCCTGAACAGACTCTAATGCATTGATGTCCATCGAAAAGGCTTGAGAAGCCCTCAAATGCATCACGTAATAATGTGCGATTTCCTTCTTAAGAATCCTTTCTTCATCATCGGATGAGCTTCTGGCCTGAACAGATGAAGACTCATCTTCTGAGTGTACACTACCATTATCAATGAAATCTATAGATCCATCAGCTGTGATTCGCACATCGCACGCTGTTGACTCACCTGACAAAGGCTGATCATCTTCCTCCATCACCTCAGTCTCCCCATCATCATCCACGACAGCCTCAGTGTTGAGATACTGACTGACTGGCATGCACTAATACAAATCAACATGAACTGTTACTCACATATCAAAAGAATAAGTAAATCACCTTGTCTGGCATTATAGTGGACTTGTACCATGGAGAAGTTGACTGAGCTAGTTCAACCAGAGTTCAATGAACTCTGGCTGAAAGTCAGACTTGTAAGAGTATTTCCATGCATCTCATGGTTTATGGTAAGTTCCGCAAGGATGGCTTTTCTCAAGAGATCAGGAGAGCACAAATCTTAACGAGATCTGGAATACAGTTCGGACAGGCTAATCAACAACAGATATAGGAACAAACTCACCTGAGGAACCCACTGCTATAATATGAGCCGTCAGAGGTGCAAGCGGGGAGACAATGGATGAAGACAAAGACTATAATGCAGCATCGGTGTGCATGCTGCATGCTGCAGCACTTAGCATGCAGCCATTTATACAGTAAGTATCGACCTGGAAACAATAATAGAGATAAGCGTATCTGCACAGAAAGCCTGCCACTCTGAGATCGGTGTCAGTGCCGGTGTTCACCATCTGAAGCGATGAAAAGCCAGGCTGCATTGAGGAAGATGGGCAACTTAGCAGATGGAGCACTAAGAGGGAGAATAGACATACCTGGCATGGATGCATATGCCAGATCAAAAACAGATGCACAGTGGGGAATGACTTAGGAAAGCATGAGCAGATGATGCATGTGACAGTGGATGGCATCGAACAGACGAGGAGCTATGACTTCTTGTCACTGCAGTTTGTGGGCAAATAATGCATGCAACGGTGGATGGCATCAGATGGATGACATCCTGCAATGTCTTTTAGCTGCAGTGGTCGATAAACTCGCAATAGGAGGATGATGAGGACTGTTTATTTTTTTGCACTCAAGCAAACCGAATGGTAATTTTATTTCAACGCTACGCTAGAAGACTACGACACCCATGCCGATCATGACGATGACACTGTCTGCTCAATGGACATGACACTGAAGAGGCTGCCCCACCAAGTGGGCAGCCACCACCATGGCAGGTGGCGAAGAGAAAAAGGTGCCCAAGAGAATGCTGGGGGTAATATAAAGTTCTTTATTCAGGCCAGATCTGCCACTTCCTGATCAGAATATATGTTCCCACCCCCACATGCACCACCATCCAGATGTGTTGATCAGGAAGTGGGCAGGGGTGGGAACATATATCTTGATCTGGAAGTGGGCAGAGGTGAGAACATATATCTTGATCAGGAAGTGGACAGGGGTGGAAACATATATCTTGATCTGGAAGTGAGCAGTGCTAATGGTGGTGCACAGGTGGGGGTGAGAACATATATGCTGATCAGGAAGTGGCAGACCTGCCCTGAACAAAGAACTTTATATTACCCCTAGCATCCTCTTGGGTGCCTTTTTCTCTTCACTACCTGCCATGGTGGTGGCTGCCCACTTGGTGGGGTGGCCTCTTCAGCATCATGTCTGTTGAGCAGACAGCATTGTCATCATTGGCAGCAGCAGTGGCGTCAGCATGTGCATCATAGTCTTCTAGCATAGCATTGAAATAAAATTACTATTTGGTTTGCTTGAGCGCAAAAAAATGAACAGTCCTCATCATCCTCCTATTGCGAGTTTATCGACCACCGCAGCTAAAAGATGTCACGGGATGTTGTCTGTCAGATGCCATTCACTGTTGCATGCATCATTTGCCCACAAACTGCAGTGACAAGAAGTCATAGCTCCTCATCTGTTCGATGCCATCCACCATCACATGCATCATCTGCTCATGCTTTCCTAAGTCATTCCCCACCATGCATTTGTTTTTGATCTGGCATATGCGTCCATGCCAGGTATGTCTATTCTTCCTCTTAGTGCTCCATCTGCTAAGTCACCCATCTTCCTCGATGCAGCCTGGCTTTCCATCACTTCAGATGGTGAACACCGACACTGACAGTGACACCGATGCATTGTTTTCCCACTTCTGTCTGTGGCTGCTCATAGCAGTGGGCTTTCTGTGCAGGTATGCTCATCTCTATTGTTGTTTCCAGGTCAATACTTATTGTCTAAACGGCTGCATGCCAAGTGCTGCAGTGCACAGCATGCACACCGATGCTGCATTACAGTCTTCGTCTTCATCCATTGTCTCTCCGTTTGCATCTCCGGCAGTTTATATTGTAGCAGTGGATTCCTTAGGTTAGTTCATTCCTATATCCATCATCAATCAGCTTGTCCAACCTGTAGACCAGATCTCACCAAGATTGTTCATGAGTTACCTCAATTACGCCCTCGCACATGCTGAGCATATGCTCAAGCAAGCTCATCTGTCACCCAGTTCAACACCAATGTCTTGCATCAGTTATGCTCGATTCATCGATTGATGGTCATGTCTTCTAGCTGTAGACTCCTCAAATGGGAGAATCGCGATGTCGAAAGGCGGATTATATTCAGGCTCTTATCCACTATGTGAGTTGTTATCAAAACCTTCGCACAGAAAATTCTTACAAAGTGTCTGTGCAGCATGTCACTCTGCATGAACAATGGTCAGATTCTCAGAATCATGCAGTCCCAGAAGAGAGTCTAGCATCTGCACCCATACTGCTGATGTGAAAGAGAGCAGCACCGGATGATATTTTGACTGAACCCCCCAAGCACACTCACCTTGAGGACTGTTTGCTCCCTATCAATGATATTTTGGCACTGCTGCTGGCACATCTCTCAGTAATGGAGTGCAATGCCCCTTCATCTCAAATTGGGTGAGGTCCTTTCAAGGTAAGTGTCTTAGTGTGATCATGCTCACAGCTAGGACTCATCCATGATCACAGCCTCTTGAAACTGCGACTCAACCCACTTTATGCAAAAAGCAAGTCTTGACTGAGAATTCAATAGGCCATGTAGACAAGCGCATCTGCCTCGAAGTCGGCGACACCAATCCTAATGCCGGTGAGCTTAACCATACAGTGTCATATTTGAGAGACTGTAATAGTAACAACTTCTCTTTGATCAGCCATTACGACCAAGCCAGCTCGAAAGAAGGATAGGAAGGCCATCATCCTGAAGTCACTCACCCGAGAAGTGGTAATTCAGCTCTTCCAAAGTTCCAAGCAGTGGACTCTGGTGAAGGAGGTGACCTTTCATTGCTTACTGAGTGACAACTTGGACCTACGCACTCTGGCCATGCAACTTGGTGTCAACAGGTCCTGTCAGGTTAGTTCAACATCGGCATGTGTGACTGTCTATTGAAATCTTTGTCGGTCATTGATCCAGCAAATTTCAAACCATTCTACAACTATCAAGATGAGATCGTGGACCATGATGACCTGGAGGATCTGTTGAGGGACAGTTTTTTGCACATGGTTGGATCACATTTCCCATGATCAGATGTGTAATCAGTGTCATATATGCAGTGTTAGACGAGATCTGAGTCACCACGACGGAGGTTCACACTACTATCCTGCAACCCTCCAACTAATCCCTTGAGAGAGGCTGTATCCCCACGGAAGACTGCTCTACAGTACCTCTGTTCAGACATGTTGTCAGCTGAGCAGGTAAATCAGCCTCTATTGTCTCAAGATCAACACTCATTGTCCAACTCCATCTAAAAGCATTCTCCTGGATTTCCATTGCATCATTCTAGATAGTGATCACCAACAATGCATAGGTACTCCATTGTCTCCCTGCTTGCATCTTCGGTTGCTCAGCACAGTGGGCTCTCTGCAGGTAAGTCAGCCTCTATTGTCCCGAGATTGACACTAACTGTCAAACTATGTCTAGTAGCATTCTTCCAGATTTCTGTCACATCATTTTAGATAGCGATCACCGATGATGCATAGCATTCCTCATCCATTGTCTTCCCACTTGCACCTCCAGCTGCTTGGAGCTAGTGGGCTCCTCATCGCATATGCTCTGTGCAGGTCCATTGATCTCTATTGTCCTGTGATTGACACTTATTGTCCAAACGGCTGAACTTTGCACTACAGCCTGGCTTTCCATCTTTCCATTGCTTCAGATGGTGAACATTGATATGTAATGCTCCTCCTCCATTGTTTTCTCGCTTGCATCTTCAGAAAGGTATAAATATTCCATATACCAATCTGTTTATGTGCATCTCTTTTGCTCATCTGGCTGGAATGCACCGAGACAAGCACATCATGTCTGCTGTTCCAAATACTTGGCACAACACAGTTAGATGCTTGAAGCTCTTGTTACACATTGTCTGATGAGGGCTCCAGATTGCATCTCAGCAAGTGATCTTAAATGCGGCTAGTAATTCCTGGGTCAATGTAATTGTAAGTGTCCTTGTCTTCTTGTGGACCTAGCTCACAATTGATTGTATGGGTAGCAAGAGATGTATCGTGAGTCGCTCGACGCAGCGACTAGCGAATCATGTCAGGCTCAAGTAAGTAGGATCGCTGTTTTGCTGATTTTATGTGATGCATGCTTATCCATGCAAAGTCCTCTGAGGAACTCTCCAGCGATGACAAGCCAGAAGTGCATGAAATCATTTTCTCCAGTCAGGGTGAGATAGTTTCAGAAACAACAGAGGATGTACAAGCAGTGAGTGTGCAGCATTGTTTACACTAACAATCTTCAATATATCGTCTGCTAGCATTCCCATACTTACTATGATAACTTTGAGCAGGAATTGATGCAAGGTATTTTGGCAGCATCTGTGGTGGAAGCCTTGGAATCTCATGTGGAGTGCAATGGTCCATCGAGTGTGGTGAGAACGTGATTCGTGTTTCATCTTATGCCCGATTAAATATTCCCACAGCATGAGAGTGAGGTTCCTTTGGTGGAATCTCAACATGGTCTTTTCGGTGTTCAAGATAGCGTTGCAATTGACAATGACCCTCACTTTGTGTCCCTTGAGACCCAGCATCCAGAGGGAGGACCAATCACACAACAGGTGTTTCAGCTTGACCCTCCTGGTCTCAACAGTCTGGGACCTTCCATCAATGAAAGTGACTTAGCGAGATTGCTGCAGGTGATGTCTCTTGCTGTAGCGAATGGCATCAAGGAAGGCATGCAGAGAGTGCTAGACATGGTTGTCGAACAGAAGTCTCACTGCAGAAGCAGTGAGAGTGCTGACACGTGTCGCAATGTTACTAGAGGATCTGCAGAAATGGAATTCGACGAAGGTGAATACTTCGGAGATGTTGAACATCGTAAATGTCTTGCTGTATGAACAAAATGTCAGAGAGGTCCACGGAGCAACAATGTGTTCAATGTCAGTCATTATGGTCTGTTATTAGAGATTCACGGCGATCTGACTTGTTCAACAGGCGCGATTCAGGCAGTACCTGCAAATTAAGGGCATTCTGCCTGCTGATGGCAGATTGCCAGCCAGTGCAATGCCTTCAGTAGTCGAGGCCTTCATTGATGAAATCAGAGATGGCCCTGACATTACATTGCCACTCATGGATTGGAGTAGTGAGCTGAGCTCTCTATGGAATAAGGAACTGATACTGCTCCTCTCTCAAGAATTTTTCCAGTGAATCATCAGGCTCAGAATTCCCTCTTCTTTTTGATCCTGAAACTATAACAGAGACAATGTTGCTGCACTTCTGTACCATGAGAATTACAGTGCATGCAAGCACAGGTCCATCATGCAGGCTCTTACAACTGGGAAGAGAGGAAAGCCAATGATGCGATGCAACACAAGGCATCAGGGTGTGAGTCACAGGTTGCATTGTAAACCAATACTAATCATTTGTCTCATAGATATTCATGAGATGTGCTCAGGTTATGAACGCAAACAAGGGAAGCTCATCAGCTTTGTGGAATGCTGTCGAGAACATTTTAGAGAAACTCAAGGTTGCTGGGATGAGCTCAAACCACACAGATGAAGAAGCAAGTAAATGTCACAAAGCCGTCTGCAGAGTGCAGCTGCCTTGGTGTCATGATGACGTCGATGCCTTGTTGTCCACTGTAGACAGTTATCAGACTGCATCAGGAGCCCTGGGATTGAAAGGAAACTGAGCTCTTCCCCAAATTCAGCAGCTCTTGTCCACATCTCCAAAGTCGAGCTGGCAATGTGTCTGCGGTCTACCGAAATCTTACTATGACCCACAGTGGCTAGCATCATTGATGAAAGTTGAGCGATCCAGAGTAGGGTATGCAAGCAATGAAGAAGAGATACCTCACTTAGTAAGCCTGTCATCTGTACTCTGTCTCAGTCTAATGCTTGCCTCAATAGTGTCCATTTGAAGACTAACAGCCTCCTAGCATGCATGCATTGTTTCTGATGTTGCTGAGTCAAATGAATATGCGGCACATGCAATGTCAGTATTTGGAGCCATTGGATTTGAGTCCATTCAATTCTGAATTGATAGACCATTAATGTACTCAACAGTGAGAATATGTGTATATCTACCATGATACTGGGCTGCCCATTTGGTGGGGTGGCCTTCTCGACGCATTGTTGGTTGAGCAGACAGTGTCGTTGTCATCATCGGTGTCGTAGTGTCAAGCATGGCATTCAAATAGAAATATATACCAGAAATATCGTACCATTCAGCTTCGTTAAGTGCAGTAAAACAAAAGTAATTTGTCGTCCTCCTCCTGCCCCATCGACTACCACAGTGACAAGATGTCATGGGATGTTGACCATCGCATGCATCATTCACCTGCAGAGTGATCCACCATCCTCCCACTCCATTGACTATCAACATTTTAGGATGTCGATCGTCGCACACATCATCCACTCATTCTACATCATGTGTTTGTTTTTGATTCAGCACATGTGTTCACACCAGGTATGTCTATTCTCCTTCTTAGTGCTCCATCTGCTAAGTTGCCCATCTTCCTCAATGCAGCCTGGCTTTCCATCACTTTGATGATAAACACCGATGATGCGAGTGGTGCTTGTCCATTGTCTCCCTGCTCATGTCTCCAGGTACTCGGAGCAGCGGGCTCTCTTCAGGTAAGTCAGCCTCTATTGTCCAGAGATCGACATTAATTGTCTTGATAGCAATCGCTGATGATGCATAGTGTTCCCCATCCATTGTTCCCCTACAATGCATAATGCGCTCATCCATTGTTTCCCACTTGCATTGCATCTCCAGCTGTTCTGAGCAGTGGGCTCTGTGCAGATACATCTGCCTCTATTATCCTGAGGTTGACACCAATTGCCTAAGTCCATCTAGTATCGTTCTCTCTCATCTCAATCGCATCACATTTGATAGTGATCACTGATGATGCATAGTGCTCCCCATCCATTGTCCCCCTATTATGTCTCCGACCACTCAGGTCGACACTAATTATCCAACTTCTGTGCAGGTAAGTCAACATCCATTGTTTTGAGGTCGACAACTAATTATTTTGTCTAGTATCATTCTCCCAGATTTCCATCGCTCCAGATGATGAACACTGATGATGCCTAGTGGTTCCTCATTCATTGTCTCCTCACTTGCATCTCTGGCTGCTCAGTGTAGTGGGCTCTGTGTGGAGGTATGTCATCTGCCTCTATTGTTCTGAGATCGACACTAACTGTCCAACTGCATCTCTATCGTTTTCTTACACCTCCGGCTGCTCGGAGCAGTGAGCTCTTCATCATGTATGCTCTGGTGCAGGTACGTCGAGCTCTATTGTCCCATGATCAACACTTATTGTCCACACAGCTTTGTTTAGTAGCATTCTAGGTAGCACTCTTCCATATGATGTGTGCTGAACTCCGCATGAACAGTACAGTCTAGCTTTCCATCACTCTGAATGGTGAACATTGTTACGCTGCTCATTCCATTGTTTTTCGCTTGCATCTTCGGCAGTACATAGTAAGTAGTACTATTCTTCTTATTCTTTCATGCAGTAGTGCTCATGTAGTTATCTCGATCCTCTACAGTTAAAAATCGAGGTTGAACACCTCATTCCCTCAATTCCAAGCCTCAACTTTGACATGTCCTTGCCAATCTCATGGTTGTCACATAATGAGTGAGGTAGGGGGATTTTATCAAAGGCACTTTTGCAAGTGCTTATATTGCTTACGCAACACATAGATGATCCTCACAAACACATTTTTGGCACATGACTCACCTGTTAATGTTATCACTTCAAGTTGTGATGGCACGATAATGTTGACTGCAGGTGTGGGCATCGAGCCCATGTTCAGTCCTGCTCCTCACTGACTGTAATTTAGCTGATGATGGCTACCTCATTGTTTGGGATTTGAAGACCAGATATAAATTGCAAGAACTAAACTGTGTATTCCACGGTCCAGTCATCAGCGTGCACTGGATTGATCTCGGAAAGGGAGACAATCTCGCATTTGTCTTCAGATGTGCAGACGGCACCCTGCAAGTTTATCAGAGGGATGATGATCAGGTCTGTCAGTGCTCCTCAGCCTTGCATTCTTGCTGTCTCAACTATAGTTGTCCATAAGACTCCATTCATCTTCTGTTCTTCAACTTCTGCCCACAATGGATTCATGCAATATTTAAGTCTCGATCCCAATCATGGCCAGATAGCCAACACTGGAGGGGGTACTGTCCACATCTGGAAGCTCAATGCAGATGGTGAGGTGATTGCCATTTGTTAAAGTGTCCCACACTGACCACAACCTTTTCAGGCATTTTAGACAGCATGACCGTGGACGTTAATGACTAAGGATATATGCTTCAATCTGTTCACTTCTGCAACAATGGGACAAATGTCGTGTTGTGCTATTGTGAATCTCATGAGGTGTAAGCTCTAACTGTCATCTCAGAATATTGCGTGAAGCTTAGTTTGTTTTCAGTCTGTGCTACAGCATCGATCCTTGGTCACTGAAGTGGGCAAAGCAATTACCCACACAGATGTAATTTCTCAGCCTTCATCTTTGCAAAGCCATGCTGATCTCTTGAATAGTGGGCATTTGATATTGTTATGGGATGGACAAACCCTGTTCATTTTGAACCTCATCAGCGGTGTCGATCAATATAAATTCCCATCGTTAGAATGAGTACGGTTGTATTCATACCCGATAGTCAGCAACTGAATAATGCAAGTCAGTACACTCAGTACCCAGCTCAGTATAGGTGGAAACGATGGGTTTGCTTGCCTCTATGACACTACTACAGAACATCTGTTGCAGATGCTTGAACATATCCGTGGTAAGCAACATTCTTCATGAGCTTCTTTGCTGTTCTCGTTCTGTTCACATCACTCAGGTTTGCTTCCTTCTACCGACAGATGCAACTTTTTACAGACCATTTCAGTAGGTTACAGTTCACAAATCTCATGTCATACAGCTTATTCATATGCCTCTTCTTTGTAGACCCATGAAGGCATGCTTAACTCTTTAGTTGTGATGGCCTCCACTGATGATGGGCCATCAGAGATCAAAATATGGTCACGAGTGCATCATTCCACCTAATGCCCACATCTTATCCAATTGATGGTCATTAGCTCATTGTAATGCATGGATGTGATAGCATGTCATCAACATCTTGGTCCCAATTGATGGTAGTTGCATTCCTGACTGCTGTGTTTGTGACACTTATTACCTCCAACCGTGACTTCAGCCTAGCAGACTATGCAGCATACTTCACTGTGTGAGTGTGTGCTCTCCTCGATGGCATCCTCCTGTAGTCAATTGCAAATGCCATGCTGTACTTGATACTGATTGTAGTATTACCAAGAAAGACACTCATGACTAACAAATACAAAGATTGATCAGTAAAGTACAGCTACATGTTCACGGATCATCACCACCATCACTGCATGGTATCCACAATAGGTGACAGTGTTTCTTCTATGCCCAATCATGACTGCTGAAGTATGCAGTATCAAGTGAATCACAGCATAGATGGATGTCAGAGAGCTTTATGCCATCTCTGAGAAGCTCTTCAACTTCCTGGCAGGGCTTAACTCTATATGCAGCAAGCACTGGATCCTGGGCTACTTTGATGACCATCTGCTTGATCTCATCTTCTGACTATGCATCCTTCATCGATTGCATCATGCTCAGCCAGGCTTGAATATTGACAGGTTCAATGGGTATGTGGGCCATCTCTACTAGGAATGAAGATTCCTTGAATGGCAGCTCGCATTGGACATGTGATCCCTCGAAATGTGATTTGCCTTGAACGTGCGATGCCTTGAAAGACAGTTCACGTTGAATGCACAATGACTCGAAAGATGACTTGTCTTGCACGTGTGATGGTTTGCATTGAATATGCAATGTCTTATAAGGCAGCTTGCCTGAGATCTGTGACACCTTGCCACCAAAATTAACATTTGGAGATCTGTCTAAACACTTCTGTCACTTCAAAGGAAAAATTTCCTCATCATCCTCATCATCCTCATTATCTAAACTGGCTTCAGATCAAGAGTGCTGTGGAGTTCAGGGAGTGATGAATGACTTAGGAGAGCTAGTCTTCCAAGTAAGGACAATTGAAGCTAAAGTGTTCCGTGCTTCATCCGTGATTGGAGGATGTGGCCTTGATACCACAAAGGGGACACTGAAAGTCATGTTGATGAAGTGGAGGATAACGAAGTAGAAATGTGCATGGGAGAGGACACGGAAAAAATTGTGGAATGGATGGTCAAAATGGTGGGAAGATCTGGGCGTGTGGCTGTTCAGCGAGGTCTTCAATGCAATAGGAACCAATTCGTACTCGTAGAGGGCATCACCACAAAGCTAGATTTTCTTGAAATGAAATCATGTGCTGTTCAAAGACATACAGTTATTGTGATGGAAAGACACTGTGGCACTGGTTATCAGCAGTGCATGCGTAGTTGTGTTCGGACATGTCAAAAAATGGCTTGAATGGTGCTGTGCATCAGGATAAGACCCCAGTGACCAGCTTTAAGGAGGGCATGCATATCTGGACATACTGTGACACTATACATGAGCAAAGGGCAATTGAAAGAATGATCATACTGACACATTAAAATGTTGAGAGGAGTTTCTAGATCAAGAGAATCCTTTGACAGACCCCAATGCCACTCATATGCATGCATTTGAGGTTAAGATTAATTGTTGTGAAGCTATTGTCAGGGAAAAAGGCTCACAAAATGTATCTATCTCTTCATTGCTAGTGAAATGAGGTGATAGGGCAGAGCGGGGGATTCATTGTTGATGGCCTTGCTAGAGAGCAGTTTCAACAGAACGGGATACATTGTAGCTTCAGAGGTAGATGCAGACAGCTCAAAATTGTGGTTTTCAGTGAAGACCATGGCTAGCTAGAGAGAGCGATTGCTGCTGGTATGCAGTGAAAAATTGATGTGGATGCGTGAACCATGGCATGCCTCAGCCATTCAACAGTAGTGACGCTGTCACGTGAGAAGACCTTATGATTTATATTTGGATCATATGCCGTAACTATGACAGAAAGCATAGCTACAATCTGGCCAACTATGATCATGACAGGATAGTAGTGCATAATTGATATGTAGACTTTGGGCGGAATGGAGACTAGGTTAGTGAATGATTATTGAATGGCAAGTTGAATCTGAAAAAAGGAAGATGGTTTATCCAGAGTCAATGAAGAAACTTCTCTGAGATCATGGATATGAAATTGGGATGTGCATGATGCACCTGTGCCATGCAATGTGCATGTACACCAGGAGTTCTAATGTTGTTGTGATTGTAAAGCTAACTTTGTCGCATCTAACACTATGGACGACAACACAATGACTTCAGTTTCTCATACTCGTGTTGATGATAGCTTACAATGAAAACCTTCGAGGAACAAGAAATATGCACCACCCAGATTTGATTCAGTCTCACCTGAACAAGTCAACAAGTGTCACAGAAAGCCAGAGTCTCTTGGCTCAAAGACATACACTCCCCAGAAGCAGGCTCTGCAACCTCAAATGAATTCAAAGTTGACAGATACACCATCTGGAAGAGTCTATAGGAAGCCCAGGCTTTCTGAAGCAGAGAAATTACAGCTCTTGGATCTGTTTTCCCTGGGTGAACTGCATTGTGTTGTGACATTGATACCTCCTGAAATGTGTCTCAATGACGTGGCACACATCATGCCTTGAGCATCGCCAGACCATAAGGTATGACACATTACTGAAACAATATTGTTACTGCTTACATGTATTGATGGCTTCTGCTGGTTGAACTGAACATTGGGCTTCTCCCTCAATCATTGAATGTGGACACCAGTCAGAATCTTACTTGCAGTAGGTCTTCCCATGTCATTCATTCCACAGCTCTTAATTTTGTTTTTAGTGTCTAAAGACATGCACAGCCAATTTGATAATGGACACACCACCTGGATTATGTCAGAAGCAGTCTTGTTTTGGCTGCTGCAAAAAATCATTCAGCTTCAGAAACTTCCATTGTGTCAGCGCTGTGGTCATTTAGGGAGGGTAAATATCAGGACATATTGAATGACAAACTAACTAATCACACTCATGATCATGAATACCCAGGTATTTGAACCACGCATCTGGGAGTACAACATTATCTCACTGACAGACCACTGCCCCCACATCGTTTATCACAATCTGGATGCAGCACCTGAAATGATTGCACCTCCATATGAAATAAAGATCCAAAGCCAAGTCCACCCACTCTTTGTGTTCATTAACACATGCACAAAGATTAGGAGGTGAGAGAAAAAAGATTCTGATTGACATGTTCCTCTTGTGCATTGAGTCGTGCTCTCTACAATGACTTGGAATTGGTTTGGGAAGATACCCGAGCAGATTGTGCAGGCATTCAGTGATGGTGTCAAGGATGTGTTTGACAACTTTGATTGGGACACTCTCAAATTCAAATTCGAAGGCATAGACCTGAGTGAGCAATCTGTGTTGGAAGATGAGGGGGATCATGCCAGTTCGTCCTTCCATCCATTGTGCCTACCTATCAAAGGCCATCATTTCAGCCATCCTGTACTGATACAAGATGATGCAACCACAGAGTCGAGCCAGTCACCTTCCCCTCCATCTTCTTCTTCACCAAACCATAGCAGGAAAGGTTGCATTAAATGTGTGCGCCTCGTAGTTCACTGGTCTGCAACAGAAGTGGGCCTTTCAGACAGCAATGACTTTCCCATTATGGAGGCAGGCCTTTCAGACAGCAGTGACTTTCCCATTATGGAGGTGAGCCTTTCAGACAGTGACTTCCCCATTATGGAACCCCCCTCATCTGCGACAGCCTCGAGCACCAGCAATTAGCACTGCTTATTCTATTTTATGAAAGCGACCTTCGCTGGTGAGGATGGACCAGGGGCCTTGATCTGTATTCCTATGCCCTTGCATGACACAATCTGCACTGAGCGCTGTGCATGTATACACCCATGCAGACCCTTCTCCCAGTATGGTTATACTTGTAGCTATTGCTTGTGATGCTTCAATCTGTGCATGCTCGTGATGCTTCAATCTGTGCATGCTTGTGATGCTTTAATCTGTGCTCGCATAATGGTTATGTTTGTAGCTATGCTATATATACATGGTTATGCAGCTATGCTATTACACATAGGAAGACACAGTAAGTGTCTGTTCATACAAACAGAAAAGCGGCTTAGGATCAAAAGTCAGGTCAGTACTCCTGGGTATGTTGAGCTTCATAGGCCATGAACAATGATAACAATGATGATGGACCTTTGCCAGAGACTTGAAAATGTATGTATATTTGTCCCACTCCTGTCGGATTGCATGGGAAGATAAGCAGCTGGAAGTGATAATCTCTACCTGCACGTAAAGTTCCTTAGAATATATGCTAGCTCCGAAGTCAGGATAATCTGTAAATGGGTCAGCGATGGATATTGGCCTGGTCTTGTACCTGTGCACCACCAACAGCAGGTGGGTGTGTGGCTTTTTCTGGCTGTAATCTGCCACTGGAGGAGAAAAGGCCTCATGAATTATGCCCGAGACTGGCGTACGATTCGCTGTCTCATAAAAAAGAACACCAGACTATTAGATTCTCCAGAGCGATTAACAGAATAATGAATGCCTCCTTGCGTAAAGTGGTGATAATTAATTGCTCTTGGCCCACCACCCCAATGGTGCAACTCTCTGGAGAGAATGACTGTCATTGCTGATAATGCATCAGATATATCGGCTTCGAGTTCTCGCCAATTCCTCCAGTCTGTTGAGACATCTGTGGCTGTGGCAGCCAAGCTATCTCTCAAGTTCAGGAAACTACAAATATCTGTTCAGAGTGTTCCTCGCTCGTCATCCTGGTAACAGGTCTCGATGATTGATGCAGTCTCTCATAGGACACCGGGGTGAGCACGCTTCATGAAGGCCTTCATATTAGCTGCTGCACAGAATGTCTCTAGCATTGTCCTCTCAAGTTGTCCTGTTATAGGAGATCAGCATTTCTGATACATTCAAGGAACTAATGCTTGCCTAATTTCCCATTGGTGGCTGTTTGCTGAAGGATACCAATAATTCTCTCGAATGGGAACATCCACCATCCATAAACTGGCCCAAAATGCGGCAAGAAGTCACCTAAATGGAGAGCATTATGATGATTTGGTCTCAAAGATTGTTCGGGTCACAGGTGCAAGATGCTGGATAGGTAGCCACACATATGTGCTGTATATATTCTCTGATGCTCTTGTGACGTGCGATAAGAGGTCGCCTGCCTGACGGCACATGCAAGTAGCATGGTTGAGTGGGCTAATTCATGTCGAGCATCATCCCTAGGATGCAATGGCATAGTCGACCGGCACCAGCACTTCAGCATGAAAACTGGTAGTTCGAACTTGATCATTGCCTTCCAATGGTCCGCTTTAAGCTTACCGTGTGCCGTGGTGCCGATGTTACAAGGAGGTTCTTTAGAATAGGTCAGACATAATGTAAGGGCAATGTCACCATGCAAGTGGTCCAAGTCCTATTGCAAGAATACTGAGGAACTTGCATGTCTTCAGATAACCATGTCTTCATGTTGTGTGGATTTCGCACATTCATCAACAAACTCATCTCCAATCAACAACTCAGGTAATACATGAGTGACCATGGACTCGGCCGTCAAGGAGCTTCTGGCAGTGGGAGCCATAAGTACGCTGTTCTGCATTAAAAGATTGGTGACTTTCTGTCGCTTGTTGCAATGACTACTCACTAACAACACATTCACCATAACAATTTTCTTCAGCTTTCTCATGGGACCCCAGAAGAATTGATCCACACCTCAGTTGTGACATACAGATCATAGAGTTCCCCTCAAATTTCATCCCAACTGTTTGGTGGTTGAACCAGATATCAGTAGGTGTTTGATCTTCCTCACTTGCAGAAGAACCTTCAAATGGCACTCGTCATCCATGTCAGATGGTTTAACATCAATGCTGATGTTGATATCATCATTATATGGATCAGCAGCTGGCATATCCATTTTGATGATGGTATGAGCGTGATACTGCACCAGACCAAGGAAGAGGTTGTGCATAGCATCAACAATAATGCTTCGTGTCGGGTCCCAATATGGCAGATGCATAAGTTCAGACCATCTCACTCTGTTTCTCTTAAACAGCGTGCTTCACCAGATCTTCATCAGTGTGTTCTGCCATTCCTGTACAGCCTTGAACACATCTGATCATGTCTTCATCCTTCAGGTATGCATATCGATGTTTTTGATCTTCTGCTTGGTCAAGAAGCATAACGCACAAAAGCACTTCATAAAATGGCTGGCTGAGCCTGATACTTTTCTGCTGGCTGGGAGGTCAGTTATGATGAGAGCCAAAACTGACCGCAAGCACCTTCCATGAGGATATCTGTAAGTCCACGTAAACCAGATGCCATCCTTCCAGGAGATGAGCAACTTGTTCATGAATGGGCAGAGGAAATGATCAATTTCCTCTTTAGATGGCTCTTTCAGTCCAGGAATGATGCCCATCAAGTAAATGGTTTCTAGCTAATATCTCAGGCTGGGAGGTAAAAGCAAACATCACATAGCGACTGACCCTGTCAATACTGACCGGCCCACAATCTTGTTCAGGTAAGGATTAAACCAATCCACTGACAGACCCCACAAGAGTCTGATTTCATGGCCTTCACCAGACAAGAAGGGCTTTCCATTGCCACACTTGAGATCATGGATTATAGCACCACCACGAATGTCATAGATGTGACCAGATTGTACAATCACGCTCCCCAGCACGAGAGCATCTTCAATGCCTCATCTGCACAGCAAACCTCTCATAAATGAGTCGAAGTCCTGCATAATGAATGAGCAGTGAGGGACATGTATACTGTGACCATGATATATGCCATGTGTGGTGAGCTTGACATTACAAGGAGTGCTGTGAGCAAACTATCAAAACTGGCAACATGCAGGGTACACAGGGATATTGGTGTTGTATGTGGGCTCATACATCAATGAACAAGTAGGACATGCTGCAAAAATTGTGACCATGGGATCCAGGCCAAACAATTCGCACATGCTGCGAATGTCTGTAGGAAAGCTCTTGAGGAGTCCCTCTTCCTGCATCGTCCCCCCACTGCCTTGTCGTAATGCAGATTCAATGATAAGCTTGAGCATACATAAAGCAAAATTGCACGATCTGCGAGTAACCTGCCTGAGCAGATTGAGAACCAGCACAGTGAAGACAGAGAGAAGGAGGAGAGGATTAACACGGTCAAGGGGATGACTAAAATGCTTGTCTATTGATTGTGAGTATATATGACATTGCCTGATGTAGACATTAACTGACTTGTGTTGATGATCGCACCAGATGAAGTCGCTGCAGGATTCGGTGAATGATCTACCATTCTAGACAACCAAGACTCTAGCAGTTCATGCTGTTCATAAAGCTGCTGTAGCATTTCAGACTGTAACAGGCACAATGCAGAGCCATGTGGTCTGTTAGCAGTGTCAAGAACAACATTTATGGCTTCCAAAAACCACCACTGCTTTGTTTGCAAGCGCTTGGAGGCATCAAGTGCCTGCCTGCTGTTCTGCTCAGACTCCATCCCTTTGCTATACCACTCCATGCAATCACGGGCATGCAGGTCAATTTGTAAATCAAGGAGGAAAAGTTTTTCATAGTCTTCTACCTGCTGATTGGAGAGCTTTTTGCATGCAGTGTGGCACTCGTTGGAGGATCCCACTGGCACAGGGGCAGAAGCACTGCTGACCCCACCTTCATGTACTGAAGCCTCTGAGCATTCCTCACCAACTGATGTCTCTTCTAAGCAACACGGTTTCTCCCAGACCCCATTCAAATGTTCTGGAGAACAAAATGTGTCATTCTGCAATGTATGTGCATAGACTTTGCCCATGAATGCGTCTCTCTGAGCATAATGGGCTTTTTTCATCGATGAGGCTCCACGCTGTTCATCACAGCCAGAACCCATAACATGTGGTATCCACGACTCTTCCTGTGGTATATGTCAGGATGCCAGAGACTTGGTGATCACTGATGAAAATCCATCGCACCTTAGAATTTGACACGCACCAATCTTGTGCCTCGTGGTGTCAGTAGGTGGCATAATTGATGAGCTTTTCGCCACACTGATTCAATGTACATTCACATGAGAACACTTGTTTTGGCATGAGGTTGACACAGTTCAAAAGGATTGGGAGTCCAGGGGGCAGCTCATGCTCACTGACAAACTTTTATATGGATGAGGCAGTGATTTCGCATGTTAGTCAACAGAAAGTCGTGACAATTGTCACTACATGATCGTGTACCTTTTATAGTCAGACAATCTGCAGTTGAACCAGCCCTTCTCAGTCTCCTTTTGTTGTCGTGCTGACTCCACGCATTTTTTAACCATCGAGCTGTCCGTGTTTGATTTCCTGCAGCAAATAGAGAGATCGCGCAACTTTTGATTGAACTAGCCAGGGCACTAATTTGAAAAGTCCGTATGAAGCCCAGTATCTCACAGTATCTGTCTACATGCAAATCACAGCCTTCCCATCTGGTTCTCCTCCGAAAAGAAACAGTTTCTAGCCTCCTCATTCTGCCATCGTCTTTTTCTTTGTAGATGCTGACTTGTTCTTGAGGTACACATGGAGAAAGTCTGCTACAACCCAATTATTCTCATACTTTGTCAAGAATGGATAGTCATTGGCTGCCTATCCCTCAAGTAAGCATAAAGAAATACATGATAGGTGTAGGGACTGACCAAAGTGTAGACCGTTTAAAGATCCTGAAATGACTGCTTCAAAAATGATGTATGTATTTGCAAATGTGCATCTGCTAAACGATGCACAGTATTCTGCTAATGGTGAGACAATGCATGAGGCCATGAAAATGAGTCCTACTGTATTTGATGTATAGTGCCTCTTTCCAGTGCAAAGCATCTCGGAGATTATAGCCACCGTGACCAATGTGAGTGACTTCTCCATTAGGCTTTGGAATAGTTTCACAGGAGTGGAGAAGTATGGCAGCAGTCAGTGAGAGAGCTGTACTCTCCGGGCAAAACTCATGCCGAGTGAGGGAAAGTGGTGGCATGACCAATTGTTGAGATTGAAAATAAACTCACATGGTATGAGGATGAAACTGACGCTGTGTTCGGTAGCATTGGTGAGAGGGAGGCATGGCTATCAATCAGACTGCTGTGATGTGGGCACCTTGACATACCTATGATCACGGTGACCTTATATAAGGCTAGAACTGTTAGAGAGGGATGTGAGGGCTGCCACCTGCAAAGCTATGTCTTAGGCATCACGATACCTTGGAACAATAGTGGTGGATTTACCTGCACGAAAAGCATACATGACAGATCTATACATGTACACCCACTGTTCACCCCATATGCATCGTCAGTGTCAGCCATCTAGAGCAATGCCATGAAAATATGGAAGAATGATATAAACAGACTTGAATAATTAGTTTCGACCTCAGGACAATAGAGGCGGATGACATACCTCCACCACACAGAGCCTGCTGTGCTGAGCAGCCAGAGGTGCAAGAGGCACAAGTGGGGAGACAATGGATGAGGAACCACTAGGCATCATTGGTGTTCACCATCTGGAGTGATGGAAATCTGGGAGAATGATACTAAACAGAATAATTAGTTGTCGATCTCAGAACAATGGATGTTGACTTACCTGCACAGAAGACATACACGACACGTGGAGAGACAATGAATGATCATGTTATGCATCATCGGTGTTCACTACCCAGAGTGATGGAAAGCCAGGCTGCAGTGCTAAGCAGCGTACAGAAGAATGATAATGAACTGTTTGGACAATAAGTGTCAGCCAGAAAGTGTAGTGATGATGAGCCCACTGCTCTGATCAGCCAGAGGCACTCAAGTGGGGAGACAATGAATGAGGAGCACTATGCATCATCGATGTTCACCATCTAGAGTGATGTGATAGAAATCCAGGAGAACAATATGGATGGAGTTGGATAATTAGTGTTGACCTAAGCAGCCGGAGATGCAATAGGAGGACAATGGACAGGGAGCACTATGCATTGTCGGCAATCACTATCAAGACAATTAATGTTGATCTCAGGACAATAGAGGCTGACTTACCTGAAGAGAGCTCACTGCTCCGAGTACCTGGAGACAGGAGCAGAGAGACAATGGACAAGCACCACTCGCATCATTGATGTTCACCATTGAAGCAATGGAAAGCTGGGCTGCATCGAGGAAGATGGGTGTCTTAGCAGACAGAGCACTAAGAGGGAGAATAGACATACCTGGCATAGATGCATATGCTGGATCAAAAACAAATGCATGGCAGGGAATGACTTAGGAAAGCATGAGCGGATGATGCATGTGATGGTGGATGGCATCGAACAGATAAGGAGCTATGACTTCTTGTCACTGTGGTTTATGGACAAATGATGTGTGCAACGGTGGACAGCATTGGATGGATGATGTCCCATGACATCTTTTAGCTGCAGTGGTCAATAAACCCGTGATAGGAGAACGGCGAGGATGAGGACGAGGACTGTTCATTTTTTTGCACTCAAGCAAACTGAATGGTAATTTTATTTCAATGCTATGCTAGAAGACTATGATGTCCATGCTGACGATGCTTCCACTCAATGGACATGACGCTGAAGAGGCCACCCCACCAAGTGGGCAGCCATCACCATGGCAGGTGGTGAAGAGAAAAGGGCACCCAAGAGAACGCTGGGGGTAATATAAAGTTTTTTGTTCAGGGCAGGTCTGCCACTTCCTGATCAGGATATATGTTCCCACCCCCACATGTGCACCACCATCAACACGGCTCAATCGCAAAGCAAGAAAGACAGAAAAACCACAGTCCAATCCCGAAGCAAGAAAGAGGGACAAAACACAGCCCAATCACAAAGCAAAAAAGACAGAAAAACCACAGCCCAATCGCAAAGCAACAAATCCAAACAGTGGTGCACAGGTGGAGATGAGAACATATATCCTGATCAGGAAGTGGCAGATCTGCCCTGAACAAAAAACTTTATATTACCCCCAGCATTCTCTTGAGTGCCCTTTTCTCTTCACCACCTGTCATGGTGATGGCTGCCCACTTGGTGGGGTGGCCTCTTCAGCGTCATGTCCATTGAGTGGAAGCATCGTCAGCATGGACATCATAGTCTTCTAGCATAGCATTGAAATAAAATTACCATTCAGTTTGCTTGAGCGCAAAAAAATGAACAGTCCTCGTCCTCATCCTCGTCATTCTCCTATCACGGATTTATTGACCACTGCAGCTAAAAGATGTCACGGAACATCATCCATCTGATGCTGTCCACCATTGCACACATCATTTGCCCACAAACCACAGTGACAAGGAGTCATAGCTCCTCATCTGTTCGATGCCATCCACCGTCGCACACATCATTCACTCATGCTTTCTGCACTTTTACAAGTCATTCCTCGCCACACATTTGTTTTTGATCTGGCATATGCATCCATGCCAGGTATGTCTATTCTTCCTCTTAGTGCTCTGTCTGCTAAGACACCCATCTTCCTTGATGTAGCCTGGCTTTCCATCGCTTCGATGGTGAACACCAATGATGTGAGTGGTGCTTGTCCATTGTCTCTCTGCTCATGTCTCCAGGTACTCAGAGCAGTGGGCTCTCTTTAAGTAAGTCAGCCTCTATTGTTCTGAGATTGACATTAATTGTCTTGATAGCGATCACTGATGATGCATAGTGCTCTCTGTCCATTGTCCTCCTATTGCATCTCTAGCTGCTCAGGTCAACAGTAATTATCCAACTCCATCTGTATTGTTTTCCCAGATTTCTATCGCATCACTCTAGATGGTGAACATCGATGATTCATAGTGCTCCTCATCCATTGTCTCCTCACTTGAGTGCCTCTGGCTGTTCAAAGCAGTGGGCTCATCATCACTGTGCTTTCTGGCTGACACTTATTGTCCAAACAGTTCATTATCATTCTTCTGTATGCTGCTTAGCACTGCAGCCCAGCTTTCCATCACTCTGGGTAGCGAACACCGATGATGCATAACGTGGTCATCCATTGTCTCCCCACTTGTCATGTATGTCTTCTGTGCAGATAAGTTAACATCCATTGTTCCGAGGTCGACAACTAATTATTCCATCTAGTATCATTCTCTCAGATTTCCATCACTCCAGATGGCAAACACTGATGATGCCTAGTGGTTCCTCATCCATTGTCTCCCACTTGCACCTCTGGCTGCTCAGCGCAGTCAGCTTTCCATCATGTAAGCTTTTCGTGCAAGTAAGTACTAGTCGTCTACTATTGTCCCAGGCTCGATGCTAATTGTTCATATGTTCTGTGCAGGTTTGGCTGTCTTTCTCTATTCCAGCTACAAGTTTGCCACCTCTTTGCTTGCCTGGAGTGATCTCACAATCTGTCATACGCACCATCATGGTGGTGGAAGGTCCCGAGCGTAGCTTAGTGCTATCTCACCCTCTCTCAAACACCCTCTCTCATTCACATTTGAGATATAAAGTCTTGGCCCATGCCAGTTCAGGGCCTCTAAACCATCTGTCCCCATTAATCACTTGCAGTCATGGATCTTGTGCTTAGCATTCTCTTCTACTACATGGCAAGGACACGCAGAGCCATTCATTGCTGTGATACTGTCCCTGCGAAGGAAATTGTACGTTCATGGCTATGTTTTCAGAAGTGTGGCATTCAGAAGTGTGTTCATTTGCTCTTAGCAGCTTGCTTCCACAACAGCATCAACCCAGCTTCATGATGGATTGACAGGCGAGGAGTTTCTTCCAGCTGTAGGTACCCATTGGCTTTTGTTATCTGATCCTTTCTCATTGTCCTTTCTCATCACCACTTAAAACCATCTTTGGTTGCAATAAGCGAAGCAGATTAAGATGCACTGTGCCTCATCCATGAGGAGCTTACAGTCATAAGTGCTGTTCTGTATTAGGGCTTTTTCGCTTATTTCGGTTACCATCATGGATACCTGCTACACCCAGTAGAGATGCTTTTTTCCATGTCCCCACCAAACTGGTCTTTGCAGTTGCTGAGTTACTGCCAGACAGCGACCTTGTGTGTCTGATCACCCTGTCCTGTCATATGCACTATATCAACACCCCTTAGGAATACATGTGATTGGGTCATTTCTTCACATCCCTGGGGTCTGATTCACCATTGCGAAATGTGAAACTTTTTCTCGACTCACCTCCAGGACAGCAGCTGAAGGAGGTACTGGATACGTTGCATCACAGTTATATTTTGAGTATCATGCTCTGGCACAGGAGTAGCATCATTTGCCACCCTGTCTTGCCATCCAAACATGTGCCCTGCTTGCCCGACTTTTCATTCTCGACCTTGAAAACATTTCAGCTCCAGGCGGCTGCACTGTTTGATTCTTCTTTGTCTCAATGGACATTGAAGATGATTGATTCCACCTCACTAGCTGAGCTGACTTCAGTCACACCGGGTCTCGCTTTCTCTCCCTGGTCCCTTATCCTGGAGTGACTCATAATCCCTACCCTCCGCATCCTATGAATTGAGGGTGAACTTACTCACCTTGCCCTCGATCTTTTCTTGCAGCACCATCATGGACTAGAGAAACTTCATATAGGGTGTCATTCAGATTACGGCCATGTAGCCCGTTGACAAACCCCCCTTCAGATTTATCTCATCTGCAGGTTCTCACAGCGCCAACCATGTACCTTCTCCACATACTAGGCGACGAGCGCATAAGTGCCACCACTCTGGAGAGATTGATGATTCTTCCTAGTCTCCACTATGAGAAGGCCACCAAATTCATTTGCAGCCTCTCCAAGGTGCTCACGCTCGTCTCTGAGCTTGATGAGCTTTACTGGCTTAATTGCATGTTTCCTCTTTTCATGGCAGCAGGCATTGACGAAACACTGAACGATATCATCGGACTTCTGATATGGGATGTTCAACTTCCTAACGTGAAGTACATTGTGTTGGAACAGGCATTGAGGGAGAATAAACAGAATTCCTTCAGTGTGTTGCTCTTGATAAGTCAGCCATTACTGATTGGTGTAGTTCGATAGCTAAAAGGTTGCAAAATAGAGTCAGTTATTCAGCTGGTTGCAGCAATTTCCCATTCTATCAAACTTGCAGCTATGGGAGGATGCTGTTGTTGACTGCACAGATGACATGGCACATTTTTGCACCACCTGTGCCACTTTATCTGATGTCTGGATGTATTCCAGTGGAAGGGAACTGAGCTGGGACTCCACCTCAGTGGTAGTCTCACACGGCAAGTTACTTTGTTCTGTTTTGAATTGAATTGATTATTCTATTAACTTATATCATGAGCTCAGGAAGCTTAAGGGGACCGCAATGCAGTAATTGTACATGTTACTCTGCGAGCGGTACTGTTGTAGACTGTACATGTGAAATTTATTGTCCAAGATCTGGAATCTACCATCATTAAATATTGTACATGATTCCACCAATTTAAGAAATGTGCGTATTTTCAATATGCGGAGATTGATTTGTGACTGTTACTCTCCTTGTGCTATTTCTCAACTATGTGAGGGCATATCACACAATTGCATATGAGGTCCATTATTATAAACTGAGCAAAATGTCATCTATTCAGAATTTACCGCTGATCATATTGTGTGACTCAATAGTCATGCCCAGATTCCATATATGTCTATGGAGACATGATGAGCATAAATGTAAATGTCAATTTTTATATACCAGATCGAATTTTAAATGCCTATTATGCGTTAAAAATGGCTTTATGTCTGGGGTGTATTTCTGCATATGCTCATGATAAATGATTAATTTATCTAAGAGGAGACAAGGTAAATTGTGCACGTCATGAATGAAATAGGATGGTCCACAGTCACATAATACATAAATTAGTGCTCATGCACTCTTCAAGCACAGCCACAATTATTATCAGCACTCTCCGCAGGTATGAAGATAATTATCACTGTGCTTGCAGACAGTGATAATTATTGATGCTGTCTGTAATAATTATTAATATAACAGTTTTTGTCATAAACTTGCTGTGACAGTGGCACATTATTATTTACTCTAATTGACCTCTATAATTAACTGCTATACACTCATGGCTGTCATTAACCTTCATGGCTCCACTGGCAGTTAAACAATTATGATCTATACACATTGCAAAGTTTATGAGATCATGTGTTTAACTACCTGCACAACCTATATAGATATATTGTAGATGCTATCATAGACAAGTCCAATGAGAAGAATGAAGAACATCCTTATTCATAGGTCAACAAGAGCATCAACCACATGATAAGTATCAAAGGATAAAACATCAAAATTAACCTTATTAGCAGCTGCAACAAGTTAGTATTTATAGAATACATGAGAGCAGTTTCAGTCATGCTGTACGTGAATGTACTTGACTGAGTATTATGTGTGCTGTACCTGTAGAATATATGAGAGCAGTCTGGTCAATTTTATAAGTCCGTGTCCATATGAGTTGAAAGAAATGCTCTACTCACCTCAGTTACACTGTACATGAATATTCTCAACTGAGGTGTTACTACCAAGGCATGTCACCCTATACCTACATGTTGGTCACATGTCCATGCTGTCAAGTCTGAGCTCCCCATTCTTCCCATCACTCTGAAGTGGCTGCACTCCAACACTCTCCCTAGGTCATGACATCGAAGAAAATGAAAGGAGAAATTAAAGGAAAAGTGAAGAAAAAAGAAAAAAAAATCTAGACTGTGAGGCCAAGAAACTTGAGGTGCTTGAGAAGAGCTGGCTGAGGAAGGGCCTTGGTGAAAATATCAGCAGGGTTTTTGGTGCTGAGAATATGATTGATCTGGATCTGCTTCCAGTGAACAGCTTCATGAAGCCAGTGGTATTGAACATTGAGGTGCCAGACCTGGGTGAAGTTGATGGAGCATTTTGCCAGGCTTTTGTCACCTGCACTATCCATCCTGAGGTTGATTGGAAGAGAAATACAAAGATAGACATCACCCATGAATTGATCCACATTGCAGTTTGCCCTGCATGCATTGCTGTGATATATTCTGCCTCAGTGGTGGATAGAATGACCACATCCTGACACTGAAAACTCCATGTAACAGGACTGCTGGCCATTACCATGATGTGCCCCTGAGTTGATCATCGTGTGTCTGTGCAATTGGAGTAAGATGAGTCAGAATAAATCATTGGTTTGAGAGTGGAATGTGCATGGATGGTGCTGTAGTAGATAATGCTGTATTTCACCATTTCTTTGATGTCATGGTGAATGCACTTCAGTGCATGCCAGTGGATGATCCCAGGGTTCACCATATAGTGGCTCAACACCTGCACAGGGTATGCCAGATTCAGCTGAGTGGTGACTGATAAATACATGATAGCACCAAGCACCTTGCAGTAGGGTATGGTCACCATTTCAAGAGCTTCATCTGGCATCACCTGCATAGGTGCCTTAGTGAGTTTCATTCTCAGTTTCAAAGGTGTGGACACTGGGTTCAACTTCTGCATGTTGAAATGTGCCAACATGCACCACACATATGCTCCTTGGGTGAGTCACAGTGTATCTTTTGCCCGATCATGTTTGATAGCTACACTGAGCATATACTTCAGTTCTCCATCCCTGCTAAGCTTATATCATGCTGCTAAGTCTCCCTGAGTAACTGCAAGACCTGAGGTGGTATCAGAGACAGACATCACATCATCTGTGTAGGTGGCTGTAATGAAAGCATCCAACATGCCAGTCAATTCTGGTGAATTTGTCCATGAGGGGGGGGGGCTTTGCCCTACTATGTATATTCAAGCAGGCCATGACTGCCACTGATATTTGGCAGCCTGTGATGGAGAAGGAGATTTCAGGCTTATGAAAGATCAGAGCATGGTGGCTAATACTGAGGAAGGCTGACATGAATGTATTCGGATGCAAGTGGGCATTCACACAAAAATTCAATGAGGATGGCAGGTGAAAACTGAAGGCCCACCTCATCATGAAAGGCTTCCATCAAATTATGGAGATGGACTATTTTGAGATGCATGCCTCCATCGTATGCTTCAAATCTCTCTGAGTGATTTGTGCACTGGCCACCTACCGCAGAATGGAGATGGGGCAGGATAACATTGAGAAGGCATACCTAAACACTTCATTGTCTGAAGAGGTCTCCATGGAGCAACCTCCAGGCTATGAGGACTTGGAGCATCCTGACTGGGTGTGTGCATTGGACCGTGCCCTCTATGGTGTTATGCAATCAGGTAACAAGTGGTGTAAGGACTTGGATTTCACTTATTCTAACCTCAGTTTTTCCGTTCTCATGCAGATGAATGTGTGCTTGCTCAGATCGATGATGAAGGGCTCATGAGAAAAGTGATATATGCTGCAGTAGCAAGAGGTGCATCATTATCCCAAGATTTCTCATGCTGGGCAGCCTTTTTTAACTCTCACAAAGCACAGCTTTTTACTAGAGTTCTGCTCGATCACTGCAGTGGCACAGGTTGCTGCATCTCAGAAGGCATCATGGCAGAGGTGTGGACTACTTCAGCACAACTGGTGAAGATATAGGGGCTGCCACCAGCAGTAGAGACCACTTGAGGGTCATGTCATCAACAGTTTAGTGAGGTGCGCTTTCCTCAAAAATAACATTATGAGACCACACAATCACTCCCTGCAGACCTGCCGTCAGATCCCAGAGGCAGCAGTTGGCATCACCAGTGTAGCTGATGAGATGGCATTGATGAGATTTGGGTTCAACTTTGTGTGTAGGTCATCAGCAATCTTCATCCAAGCTTTTGAGCCAAAGACATGTAAGTGAGCAATGTTGAGTAGAGGACCTCACCAGCATTCATAAGGGGTATGTATGCTTCCCTTGATGTGCAGATGATACAAGTGACTTGAGATATGTGCTCATATGAAAAACATCAGCCTCAAAATAATTCAGAAGGTCAGAATCGTACAGCATGGCTCATGCATGATCAGTGAGCATACGATGCCCCTGCTCACTGACCCCATTCTCCTGAGATGTATATGGCACAGTTGGCTCAGAAACGATCTCATGTTGCTGCAGGTAGGTGGTCCACATGTCATTTGTAATCTCAGTGACATTGTCAAAATGCACCTTGCAGAGCTTCTGGCCAGTTTGATACTCTGTCATATGATGGAAGACCTGAAAACAATGTAGGGTGTCCTTCTTGGTCTTGTTAGTGAGAGAATAGACTGTCATAAATGATGATGCACCATCATCAATTATCATCAGGTAGCACATGCTGCCTAGTGAGGATACCAGAAATGGGCTCATAAGATCAACATATATGCACTCCAGGAGCTGTGTCTCAACTTCTGAGGGGTGAAATGGAGTGTGAGTGTGCTTGCCTTTAATACAATCCTCACATCTATCAACCAGTTTGCCACTGTTGATGACCATCCCAGTAACTAGTGTGTTCTTCCTCATCTCTTCCACAGTTCACTCACTGATATGTCCTAAATGTCAATGCCAGGTTGTCACATCAGCAGTGGAATTGAGCTCAAGTACTGCCGGTGCATGAGTGAGTAGGGCCTGAGAAAGATGCAGCAGGATCTTCAGGTCAACTTTCTCAAGTTCATCCTCATATAGATTTCCGAAAATAAGTGTATCAATAAGAATCAGACATGATAATGGACCATGAATGGTCAGCTTGCCATGTTTCCCTGAGTATGTACATCTAGCTTGATCGAGACGTGACATGGAAATGAGATTCATCGCTGGCTCAGGTGCATGGATAGCATTCTGAAAAGTTATCACGAACATGCACCCATCAACCATGATCTGCACAGTGACATTTTCAACCCCCACAATGTGAAATGAGGATCCTTTCTTTGTGTCATTGCCCAAGGTCAGAGCGAGTGGCATGTACTCAGTGAAATGAGCACAATCGGTGAAATAATGATGAGTTGCACCTGTGTCAGTGAAAGTGAAGAATCGAGAGGAGTCAGAATTGACAGCAGTGGAAGGAACCTGATTGGCGATGTTGGTACTGATGAGAAATATATGATAGTCATAGTTAGACATCTGCACCATATCCTCCTCAATTGCAATTGCATAGTCAGCTGCTATGATGGTAAAATGTGTCCGTGGAACAATGACATTGGAGGACACCTTGCTAGCGAGGACACACTCAGCTGAAAATTTCTTCTTCAGGTGCAGAGGAGTCTTCCAAGTCATGGGCTGCTGTCCTGGTCATTCTCCTCCCTCACAGTAATAGTCTGCTTTCTGATGTACATGCCATCTGCACCATTCACAAATGATAGTCACCTTTGCATGGATCATGAATGCGCTAGTGGTTCCAAGTGTCAGCACCATGCCTTTGCTCACTGGATTGAGGATGCTGCCTGATTGTTTGCACTCGCTTTCAAATACTGTGAGGATCAAGTCCATAATGGACTCAGGGCCAGTCTGGAGAAGAAGTGAGGTAGTAACTAGCTTGATAGAGAAGAGAGCCTTCATAGAGTGACAGATGATGATAGCAAATCATGTGTTGATAATCGAAGATCTGAGATCATGAGTTACACACAGATGACACCACAACTCAGTGAAGTGATCTATTCATTTTCTCAGTCCATACACATGCCTTGAGATAGTCCTCAGTGTTTATCATAGTCAACTCATTCCTACGCTCCCACTTCACTACCAGCACCTCCCACACTTCACAAGTCATCTTTTCCTCCTGAACAATACTAGTTCTGATGAAGTTTATGATATTTAGCGAGATGATGATCTTCGCTAGCTCATCATCCTTGTCCCATCCCTTCTAAGTTGCTATAGTCATGTCAACAGTTGCAGGAGGTGCCCCTGGAGAAGCATTGACTGGTCATGTGCTGGTCCCATCTATATGCACATATAGTCTGCAAAATCGAATAATAAAGTGTATTCTCTTCTTCCAGTTAAGCCAGTTGTCTCATCCTAACTGTTGACTCTCAGGGAGTAATGGTAGCCATTCAGCCATGGTGAGCAGCAGTAGTTTCCAGCAGTAGCAGCAGAGCAGAGGAGCAGAGGAGCGGTCGAAGGACAAGTTTGTCTTAAATAGCAAGTCAGTCATCATTTGTATAGCTGTATATGCACTTTAAGCGAGACTCATAACATATAAAATGCATGAGAGCAGTTTCAGTCACATTGTATGTGAATGTACTTGACTGAGTATTATGTGTACTGTATCTGTAAAATACATGAGAGCAGTCTGGTACAATACTATAAGTCCATGTCCATATGAGTTGAAAGAAATGCTCTATTCACCTCAGTCACATTGTATGTGAACATACTTGACTGAGGTATTACTACTGAGGCATGTCACCCTGTACCTACACGCTGGTCACATGTCTGTGCTGTCAAGTCTGAGCTCCCCATTCTCTTCATCATCCTGAAGTGGCCCCACTCCAACAGTGTTTCATCAAGCTGTTTTTTCTGATTGACAATCATCATGAATGCCATTTCAGCTGACATGGTCATATTGGCATACTCAAGCCATGTTTTAGATCATTGTGGTTTCTGCTCTCCTATCATTGGAGAAAATGCACTGATCATAAAGAGAAAAAATATGAAGCTGGAGGACTCATCTTTCTTGATATGCATGACATTCCTTGTCATCACTGCAGCTACCCTCACCATTAATATTTTGTCTTTGATGGTGAATTTCTGCATCTGATATTTGACAATGCAAGCATCCAAACATCAGAAGATGTTTCAATCTCTCAATGCATGTGTGACTTACCATGTGAGAGACAGTGTGCAGTGACAGAAAAAGGCCCCATTGTGTACACTGGTTCATAACATGAGATGACATAACTTAGATACATTACACATTATGGCTGCACTCTATTTTTTTCTTTGTTATTTGAAACTGACATGTGTCACCTCTATCCAAGTTGAAACAATGGGTGATGGATGTGTAAAGGAGTATGATATACTGCTTTGGTGCACATGACCTTTGTACTGTGATGAGATTCAGGTCTAACTCACTCAGAAAGTTATGCATGTTCATGTCTCATGTAGTGCCCCTATAGTGATAATGAATCACACCTTCATCTTTATCTCTATGTCTGTGCAGGCAGTGATCATTATCATAGAGTGAAAAGAGCCACAAAACAGTAGTGGCACTCACTGTGAGTCTCTGAGGGACAT